TTAATTGTGATTATGGGAGAGAGTCTTCAAAATATTAATAGCAGTTTTATAATGCCAATAAACAGTTATACAGAATATGGTGCAAATTATTGGTGGTATGAAAATAAACATTAAACCCAAAAGTTCCATTTGTGAAAAACATTTTAATGCAAATTATGTTATCCGTGAAAAAGTGCTAAGAAATCTACTAGGAAACGTTATTTTTCAAGTAAACATGTTTAATGTCTACGTTTTAAATGATTGTAGGTTATGTAAATAGGTTATTCAACTTTGTCTTTTCTGTAATAAAAATAATTATTAGTATAAAGTTTTACTATATAAATATTTCGTATTATTTATCCTGTCTCCTTGGTACTAATAATGTTATGACTTGGACCCTATTATAATGTGTTCATGACAGTGTTGCCAGTCTAGTACAATTGTACTAGATCTAGTACATTCTCTGAGAATCTGGTACTCTAGTACACTCGAAACAAAATCTAGTACTTTTTTCAGCGTATGTTTCCATTTGAAGTGTAAAATATATTGGTCAAAAATTGCAAGAGAAATTAAAATAGTTCTAAAAAATTACTTCAGAGATAAAATAGTAGACACTTCTCGAGAGATAAAACATTGTTTAAAAATGGCACGAGAGATCAAATATTGTTTAAAAATGGCTCGAGAGGTAAAAAAGGGTGTTAAAAATTGGCCGAAGTATAAAATAGTATTTGAAATTGCTTGAGGGGTAAAATATTGTTCAAAAATTGCTCTAGGGATAAATATACTGTTAGAAATTTAATGAGAGATAAAAATATTTAATAATTTTTTGAGAGATTAAATAGTATTATAAATTGTTAAAATCGTGTTCAAAAATTGCTCGAGGTAAAATAGTATTACAAAATGTTAAACCCTTGTTCAAAAATTGCTCGAGTGATAAAATACTATTGAAAATTTTGTTGAGAAATAAAATATTGTTCAAAATTGACTCAAGAGATACCTACTATTAGAAATTTCTCGAGAGATAAAACATTGCTTAAAAATTCCTCGAACGATAAAATACTATTAGAAAATGCGCGAGAGATAAAATATTGTACAAACATTGCTCGAGATATAAAACATTGTTAAAAATTTATCGAGAGTTAAAATATTTTTATAAATTTGTCGAGAGTTAAAATATTGTGCAGTTTGCTAAAGAGATAAAAAAGTTGTTAAAAATTGATCGGATAGAATAATGTTATAAATTTATCGAAAGATAAAATATTGTTTAAATATAGCTCAAGAGATAAAAAAAGGTTTAAAAAGTGTTCGAGAGATAAAATAGTATCATAAGTTATTAATATCTTATTAAAAAATTACTCGAGAATTAAAAAATACTGTTAAACATCTCTCGAGAGATAAAACATTGTTTAAAAATTGTTAGAAAGATAAAAAATGTTAATAAAAACTGCTCGAGAGATAAAATAGTGTTAGAAATTATTAAAATTTTGCTCAAAAATTGCACGAGAGATCAAATATTGTTCAAAAATAGCTTGAAAGGTAAAAGAGCTGTTAAAAATTGCTCGAGTGATTAAATAGTGTTAAAAAATTTTGTGCAAACATTGCTCGAGAGATAAAAAAAAAGTTGTTAAAAATTGCTCGAGAGATAGAATACCTACTGTTAGAAATTTGTTTAAAATTGTTTAAAAACTGTTCGAGAGATAAAATAGCATCAGAAGGTGTTAATCTTTTTCAAAAATTGCTCCAGAGATAAAAAAATGTTGGAAATTGTTAAAATTTTGCTCAAAAATTTCACAAGACATCAAATATTGTTCCAAAATAGCTTGAAAGGTAAAAAAAGGCTTTTAAAAATTGCTCGAGTGATTAAATAGTGTTAAAAATTGTACAAACATTGCTCGCGGGATAAAAAAAGTTGTTAAAAATTGCTCGAGAGATAGAATACTGTTGGAAATTTATCGAGAGATAAAATATTTTTTAAAAATAGTTCAAGAGATAAAAAAGGTTTTTTAAAATCTGTTCGAGAGATAAAATATCAAAAGGTATTAAATCGTTTTTAAAAATTGCTCGAGATATGAAATAGTGTTAGAAATTGTTAAAATGTTGCTCAAAAATTGAACGAGAGATCAAATTAATATTGTTTAAAAATAGCTTGAAAGGTAAAAAAGACTTAAAAATTGCTCAAATGATTAAATAGTGTTAAAAATTGTACAAAAACATATTGTACAAACATTGCTCGAGGGATAAAAAAAGTTGTTAAAAATTGCTCGAGAGATAGAAGACTGTTAGAAATATATCGAAAAAAAAAAAAAATATTGTTTAAAAATAGCTCAAGAGATAAAAATAGATTTAAAAACTGTTTGAGAGATAAAATAATATCAAAAGGTATTAAAATATTTTTCAAAAATTGCTAGAGATAAAATAGTGTTAGAAATTGTTAAAATTTTGCTCAAAAATTGCACGAGTGATCAAATATTGTTCCAAAATAGCTTGAAAGGTAAAAAAAGGCTTTTAAAAATTGCTCGAGTGATTAAATAGTGTTAAAAATTGTACAAACATTGCTCGAGGGATAAAAAAGTTCTTAAAAATTGCTCGAGAGCTAGAATACTGTTGGAAATTTATCGAGAGATAAAATATTTTTTAAAAATAGCTCAAGAGATAAAAAAAGGTTTTTTAAAAACTGTTCGAGAGATAAAATATCAAAAGGTATTAAAATCGTTTTTAAAAATTGCTCGGGAGATGAAATAGTGTTAGAAATTGTTAAAATTTTGCTCAAAAATTGCACGAGAATTCAAATATTGTTCAAAAATAGCTTGAAAGATAAAAACTGTTAAAAATTGCTCGAGTGATTAAATAGTGTTAAAAATTTTGTACAAACATTGCTCGAGGGATAAAAAAAGTTGTTAAAAATTGCTCGAGAGATAGAATACTATTAGAAATTTATCGAGAGATAAAGTATTGTTTCAAAATAGATCAAGAGATAAAAAAAATTAAAAACTGTTCGAGAGATAAAAGAGTATCAAAAGGTATTAAAATCTTATTCAAAAACTGCTGGAGAGATAAAATAGTGTCAGAAATTTGTCGAGAGATAAAATATTGTTTAAAATTGTTGTGTTCGTGTTCTCTATAAACATTTTTTTGCTCTTGAATGACCAAACTTCATAATTAGAAAAATCTGGTAATTTTATAGAATCTAGTACATTTTTATGAAATCTGGTACATTTTTTAGATAAATCTGGTACATTATAAAAATATATTCTGGCAACACTGGTTGGACCCCAAAATGGCGGTGTGCGCGTAAATGTGCGCGTAGCGTTGCCGCCAAGACAAGTTAGCCTGCCGATTGTTTATTATGCCGTGCCTATACTATAATTATAAGGTCTTTTCCTTTGCATCGAAAGTGTAGCACTGGGCTACACCAATTCTGAAAATATCGTTCCATATATACATATTGTATGGATGGAACGATATTTTCAGAAGTGACGTAGCTTAGTGCTACACTTTCGATGCAAAGGAAAAGACCTATAAATACACGGATACAAGTTAAGACCAAAGGAGAAAAGAATATAGACCTCTATAGGATGTCAAGTACTGATGTCAAAGAAGTGTATTACCGGGCCGCTGGCTGACAGTGTACCTATACATTCATTTATCGATCACTTCATGAATGGTTGACTCGGAAGCCTATCTAGGGAGTGGGATAAATGAGGAATTAATAAAGAAGTAGGATATCCAAAAGGTGGTACAATTAGCCAATGAAGCTGCAACTACCATGTCAAAATCTTGTAGCGAAGGCTGGACTTTTCAAGGCGGGGAGTCAAAAACAATCAAGAGTAGTTTAGAAGGAACTATCGTCGTAGTTCTATATAGGCTGTCCCATTAATGCATAATTGCTTGATGTTTCAATTTGTATTATAGACACATGTTTTGAATAAAAGTTATGTGGATTTGCTCAAAAAATATAATTTAAAAACATTTTTGGATATACAGGGTGTTACGCTTTCAACTGGAAAGTAAAAACATGTTTTTAAATGGAATATCCTGTATTTTATTTCAGTTTTAGAGTGGCATGGTAATAGTGTATTCATTAACAGACTTCAAAAAAGGAGGAGGTTCTCAATTCGTCGCGATATTTTCACTACAATATTTTTCAACTTATAAGGACTAAGCTGTTATGAAAGAAGTGGAGGGGAAAACAGAACAGATATATTTTTAAATAAAACACCCTGTAGTAGTTACGCCTTATAGATTTGGTTTTCACATCGTTTTTTAATTTTAATAGACTAAACATTCCTAAAAATGAACATTTTCATTTATTTGCTGTGTTGCATAGTTTAAACTTGAGGTTACAATATTCTCAATTTTTTCAAATATATACTGTGTTATACCGCCCATTTATTAATTTTTTTAATTTTTTTTGTTTGGCATTCTATTCCCAAACGAATTTTTTCTCAAGATTTTGACGGTTTTACCATGAAAATTGACATTTTTTTCGCATTTTTCTAATTGGTTTTTGTTTACACTTTAGGGTAAAATACTAATTTAATTTTTAGTAACCTATTTCTTAGAATTAAAGTAAAAATTTAAAAATCAGTTCAGGCTCAAGAATGCCAAACAAAATAAAAAGTTAAAAAACTAATTATTAGTTAATTAAATTTGCGTTTTGACACACCCTGTATACAACGTAGCAAATGAATGGAAAGTCAAAACATTTTTAGAAACGTTAATAAAATTGTTTCACGATGTGAAAACAAAATACATTTGTTATACATGGGGGTTTATTTTAAAACAGTATAAGTTTTTCCACCACTCATTTATGAACTTTCCTGTATACTTAGGAATAATTCTAAAATATGATCGTACATCGTTAATGAACGTCATGGGCAGCGAAAGTGTTAATGAGGCTAATAACATTTTCCAATTACAAAGTTTAGCTTACCTACTCAAAGTATATTTTAATAACCGCACATCACCTATCTTAATTGCAGTCATTGATAGTGCCACACAAAGAATAAAATGAAACAAATTCTCACTGGAAAAACTTTTATTTAGACAACACCAGCGTGCACAGAAAAATCCACACCATACGAAAACTTTTTGTTTTACAAAGACAGTATAAAGTTATTCGCGTAATGCAAACTTTCTTCACTGGCTCTGCGCATGCGGGAGACGGGACAAGAACCAAACTGTCATGTATCTAATAGATGCCGGCACATTCACAAGGCTCGGGCGCCTTCTCCTTCTGGCAGTTGTCCAGCATACCGTCGCCGTACGTGTTCTTGAGGAAGTTCACATGCCCTTGCAGATTCTTTATTCTCATGGTGGCGTCCTCAAAGTTCTCGTTCAAATTGTTAATTTGCGCCTGCATCTTCTGCCTGATTTCGTCTCTGTCCTTCTGAGCCGATTTAGCCATGGCTCTGCTTTGAGCTAATTGCCGTTCCAAGTCGCCGATCTGCTTCTGCATGGACCTTCGAACGATTTCGCATCTGTCCTTGATCCTCGATACCTACAAATAATAGAATGGGTTTAGTTTAGTTTGCAAAACGTCTAAGTTTGGGAAGATTTGGTGAGCAACTCACCTGTCTAGCCGTTTCCTCTCGGAGACCTTCGAGCTGAGCCTCGAGTTGGGTAATTTCGTGTAGTCGCTCCTCGGCCAATTTCTCGTATTCGTCGCATTTTTCTTGTGCCTTTTCTAAGTCGTTTATCAGACAATTGTTCAATTCGTTAAGTTCCTTCAATTGTTCCTCCATTTCCAGTACTTTGCATTTCATTCTGCAGACGGCTTCGGCTCCCACTGCACTTTCGCTCTTCACATCATCGATTTGACCTACCATGGCTGCTACTTTATCCTGCAAAAACAAGAATTTGACATTGGCATTTCCTCAATTTGATATATATTTTATGGCGCCTATACATAATCGACCATCATGGGCGATCACAGGCGAATATAAATGTGTGGAGGGCCGCGATTTATCAGTGATCGGGCATGATTAGTGATGCTGCGAGAGAGACTATCCAACGGACAGAATCGTAATAATTTTCATTCAGCCAAATTTTTCTGAGGAGATAAATTGAAAGAGCAATGTTTGTATTTTTTCGAATGACTATCAAATAAAAAGTATAACAAACGAAGATATCATATATTTTAACGTGCTACAAAATGCTTTCATTTGATATCACACGATGGCAATACATTTTTAGTTAACGCCTAATTTAGGCCACTGATTACTTCAAATTTCAATTGTTTATGACAAATAGTCTCTAAGTAAAATGATTGTGACAACAAAAATTAACATGAATATAAAATTTGAGAAATGGTCCTTAAATTTTTCCAATCACATATTTAACAATTTAATATATCGACATTCCTCTCACCTTATACATCTGCAGTTCTCTAGCGATCGCCTCATTATTCCTTTCAGCCAACAGATGCATCTGTTGCGCCTCCTGCAGTTTAATCTGCGTCGCTTTCAAGATATCAGGAAGCGGCATCAACTCCTGCAATTTTTCCTGGAACTGATTCTTCACGCGTTGAATCTCCAAATTCACCTGTTCGGCGATGCGTTGATTCTCCATTTCCATTAAGTCGATTTGTCGCTTCTGTTCTTCGACTGTTTGTTGGGCTTCCAAATACTACAAAATATATAGGTAAGTATGCAGTATCGGCTATCGAACGCTTTTTAATACGCTTTGCAAAAGTACATGGGAAAACTACAGAGTGTTAGCATTAGAGCGAGCAGGAAACGAATAATAATAATAATATCAGCGTTGCCCGTTTATATGGTCGGCTTACGGTTCGTAAACACTACGGTGGCCTCATCCCCGTTGCTAAGGACGGAGTGTCGTCACAAAATGAAAAATCGAAATGATAAAATATTCTGCTCCGTTTCGTTCACTAGCTTTGTAAAAAATCTAACATTTTATTAATATTTAGTGGTGTTTATATTTTGACTTTTGGACCATTTTCCATTGTTAAAGTTTTTATAGTATCGGTAGTTTGATTTTTTTGAAATACAAGCTACAGAACAGTAAGGAAAAATGATATAATGATTTTCATAAAAGTTCAAATGAATTACTTTTTATTAGAATTATGAAAATAAATAATATTGTGTAAATGGTTTATTTTAAACATTTTGTGTCTCCAAGCCGAACTCCAACCGCATTTTGTTTATACCCTGAAATAATTTAAAATTTCAGCATGCCTGGAACGAGCTATAATGTTGCTGTTTACACACATAATTTTTACAAAAAAAAAATCATTAGAAAAAAGGATCATTTTTCACTTTCCCAAAAAGCAAACATTTACAACAATATGTTTCAGAAAATATCAGATCAATGTTAAACTGTGAATATATGAAATGTTCATTCGTTTTATTACATAAAATAAATAAGAACTGACAGAAGAGATTTTTTCCGATATACATTGTATGTTTTCTTCTATAAAATTATTTGTAACTACTTTTTACTAAACTCTTCATTTTTTCAATAATGTATGTTCTTTTAGTAAAGCCCTTTGACTTTTCTTGTTCTTGGTTGTTGCTTGTAAGAAATTATTTGATCTGCTTTTAAATGTAGGGTGGACACAGCTACAATTAATTTAATAATTGTGAAAGATAATTGCAGAATAATATTCAGCCTCTTTTTTCTAATGATTTTTGTTTGTAAAAATTGTGATTGCAAACAGCAACACTATAGCTCGCTCCAGGCATGCTAAACTTTTAAATGATTTCAGGGTACAAACAAAATGTGGTTTGACTTCGGCTCGGAGGCCGTACCCTAACCCAAAATGTTTAAACTAAACCATTCACACAATAATATTTCTCTTTATAATTCAAATAAAAAGTAATTTATTTGAAATTTTATGTAAATCAATATAAGATTTTTCTTTGATGTTTTGTGATATTATAAAAACTCAGTTCAAAAATAAAAATATAAACACCACTAAATAATAAAATATTAGATTTTTTAAAAAACTAATATACGAACCCAAGTAGAATTTTTTTCTGCCCACTCGCTTTTTCATTCCGTGACGCCCTTCCACCCTCCGCTACAGGGATGAGGCCAACGTTTCAGTCAACGAACCGTGGGCCTGGCCAACGTTACAATGTGCCCGGGCCGGATAAACTGGCAAAGCTGATATTATTCGTTTCCTGCTCGCTCTAATGCTAACTCTATGTAGTTTATACATCATGCACTTGTGCAAAGTGTATTAAAAAACGTGTAGAATATTCAAAAAGTTTGAATAATTCACGTTAATTAGAAAATTATATACCTATTCCTGGCTTACCTTATTTCTGTAATCGTCCAATTGCTTTTGTTGGTCATCAACTAAACATCTCAGTTCATCTAATTCGTCCTGGGCCTCTCTGAATCGTTGTTTTGCTACATCTAGTTGTCCTTGAAGCTCCACCAGTTGTTCCCTTGTAACGGCGTCCTGAAATCAAGTGTTAAATTAATTTTCAATTCCAAAATTCGCCAATAAAACTCATAAAAAATGTTATATTCTTATTGGCAATAAAATCAGCAAACAAACATTTAATTTACAATTATTATCTTACCTTCGGTTTCAAAGCACTTTTCAACCGTTTAATCTCATTCTCCAGTTCTCTCTGTCTTTTTTCAGCTTCTTTTCTGCCGTCTTCCGCCTTCCTAGTTTTGTCCTTCAGTTTTTCATTTTCGGCTCTTAGACCAGCAACTTCAGTCAGTTTGCTTTTGAAATCGTCCTGTAGTCTCTTGTACTGTTCTCTAAGTTCCTTGAGTTGAGTCTCGCAACCCTAAGAGAAAAATGTTTGGACTTTAATATGCAATGTATTGGAATAGAAAAAATATAATGAAAATCGCTAAAACAAAAATAAATAAGACTGAGAATAAAAAATGGCAGGGAGAAATGGCCTAGGACAAGTAAGAAAGAAGAAAGTTTTAAAAACAAAGAATAGATAATGAAATAAATGATCAAAAAATAAATGATAAAATGAAGAGTACCAGAAATTCTGACGTAATGTTTAATCCAAGATCTAGAAGGATAAACATTGACAGAACCAACTAAAGTTTATTTTGATTTTCGTTGTACACCCAACAAAAATCTCTGGGAGAATATATTATGGAGAAAAAATCGTGGATACTTACAGGCCGCTCCACACACGGAGGTGGAGCCATGCAAGGCGGGGGTGGCATACATACAGGAATACAAGGACTCGGGGAACAAGGACTACCAGGACAAGGTGGACCTCTTATACAGGGAGATGCAGGGCACAGCATCCTTCTATGGTGTTCTAAATGCTCCCTCTCTCTTTGTACAGCCATTAGTTCATTGTGCATGCATTTCACCTCGTTTTCCATGCAATACAATTGTTGTTCCTAAGTAGAAATATTACAATTATTGGAATGGAAGATTTAAAATGAAGATAAGGGCATTCTTACCAACATTTGGGTATTTTCTGAGTATTCCTGCAAACGGGATTCAATGTCTGCAGGACATGGTCCTCTGCCTGGTCCACACGGCATTTTTGGAGATGATGAACGACTTCTCTAAAATACATACAAAAAAATATGTATTTATTAAAGTTACGTTTTCCTACCTGCGTCAAAGGCGAGCGTAAAACGTCTGCGGTATACGGACAGTCGCCGTTTCACGCAAACACACGCACAGTAGGAAGACGGTCCGATTTAAACCAAGAGCAGTGTTAACCGTGTTACACCTGCGTCGTTCGCAGTGCGTGACACGCAGCTAGGAAAACGTAGCTTAACTGCTCAGAAATAAACATAGGTACATATACCTAGGTACCTATCGCTCATATTTTTGTCGTTTTAATGAAAGTTAAAAAACGTTTATTTATTTTAATGTTTGTTTCAATATTTTTTGGATTGCTTAATAATGTTTTTCTAATTTTCACATTTTTAGTAAATGTCAACCAGTTGCATAATGTTGAACATTATGAAAATGGTTACGAAAAATTCATGTCACCAGTTGCGAAAAAAAAAAAAATAAACCTATTTTGTTTTCAAAATTAATGTATACCTTATTATTGAAAGTTTTTATCAAAGAAGAGCGGGTTGACTTATAAAAATTGAATTTGTTGTTTTGATCGGTATTATCCATTCTAAATCATTACCAAATAAATAAAACACAAACTTGACAAATTAACCCACTTTCTTGAAAATGAAATAACTTTAACAAGCTATATAAACACACTACAAGTCGTTAACAATAAATAATTAATTTGATTTTCTATTTGTCAATAAAATGGTGCATATGCAACTAACAATACAAGAAAGTCCCTCGTTTTAAGCAAGTTTTGTATGTAGTTATAATCATGTTTATTAAAAATGAATAATGTAATTACTTGTAGGTATAATTCCAATGTTTTGACAATGTTTCAAAAAAGGATTTTTCTTTGTCTTCGATTGAATAAAGGTGTTTCTTAAGTTTAACAGTTCTTGCTTTTTTCCATTTTTTTCTTTTTTGATGATTTTTACACTTTGAATTTTGGAATGTGACAAATTAGAAAATGAAATTTTGAAAGTCTTGAATGAACTGTCACTTTGTCATAAACGTCATAAAAAATCACAGAGTACTTGTTTTTTATACATTTTTTTACATACCCAGTGCTCCTATCATGATATAAATAACCAGGAGCGGCTTTCTCTAAGTTATAATTTTTTTTTGACCTCTCCAAAAAATACCTTAACTCACCTTAGAATCACCCATCGATCCTGGGCATGGAGGTGGTGGACAAGGAGGAGGACACATCGGTGGACATTGTGGAGGACACTGTGGAGGACACTGTGGAGGACACTGTGGAGGACAACGAGGTGGACAAGGCGAGCATGGCGATGGACACGGGGGACAAGGCGAGCAAGATGAACAAGGATAACAACAAGGAGAAGGACATGGTGGTGGGCAAGGAAAGCACGCGCATGGTCCAGATCCTTTACTGGATCCCCTGGAGCCTGATCTGGATCTTCCACCCTTTTTGGATTTGCCGCCTCCTGGAGAGAACTGTTTGGCGCATTTGGATTTTGTGTCGTCGCATATCAGCAGTTTTGGCATGCAGCTTTCTGTGAGACCACACACCACTACTTTTGGAAGTATGTCTTCTTGGTATCTAAAATATACCAAATTGATATATATTTTTACGATATGTAGGTATATGAGGATATGAGCAAACAAGTCGATAGTATTGAAAAATAGTGATTTTAAAAAATTTTCTTGGATGAAACAAAATTTATTTTACCAAGTCCTTATTTAAGAAGAAAAATTATAGTGTCCGAAGTAATAATTTTAGAATTAAGGTGAAATTTTCAAAAAATATTTACTGTGAGGGCTGAAATCCGTCGGGTTCCGAAAACAAATTTTCATTCTGCAACAGCTCCTGTATCTTCCTAGTCTTCTGTTCGAATATGATCATCTGGTTCTTCAATTCTAGATTCAATTCCTCCAGCTCTTTCGCCTCACATTCAGTCATCTTTTCCTTTTTGGTCAACTCAGTCACTCTGTCTTTCAGTTTGCTGATAATGGTGCCCGTATGTCTGGCCTCGCACTCCGTTTCGTCCAATTCCCTGAGGATGGCTGCGTCCGCTTCGGCGTTGTACTTGAAAATGTTTGCTGCGCATTTTCAATCAGAAACATTAATGAGTTTGGAGATTGTTTAAATCAATATCTTGATGTCTGCTTTACTATTTTTTATTGATCATACTAAATAAATTCAAGATTAAATTTTGTGTATAAAAAGTTGACAAAAATCATAAAAAAATTACAGATAAAAAACAAAAATTGAAAATTATCGCTAATAATTGTTTCTCTTATAAACTGACACTTTTTCAAAATTCCTGAAATATTTGTTTGGTTTCGTTTAGTACACTTAATACTGGACAACCAAAAAGAGGTAAAGATATAATATATTAATTTCTTATTTTTGGTAATAAAACTTACGATCTTCGTCCTAAAACAAAAGAAAACAGTCTAACAAAAAAATCCAATTTTTTTATATGAAAAGTATTTACCAAACATTGCATAATTTTTTTGTTTTCCGCTGCCACTCCTTTCAGTTCTTTGGAGGCCTGTTCTATCATGTTTTCCACCTCTTGCATTTCATCATCCTAAAAATATACAAGGGGATGTTGGTATTTAAAATTAACCTAAAAAGGTTCTTGTAAAAAAAATTATTCAACATGGTTACAACTATGATGTTAAATAAATAGGTTGTCTTAGTTTGACATCCATGGAAGGTGATAGAACTGTGAGTCTTTGAAAAAATCATGTCAGTGAAAAGGCTAGATTATTTGAGTTTTGGTCAGTTATTAAGTATGTATTTTTGAAAGGATTATTGGGTACAAGCTTTTTTACTGATATGAAGAGAACTTTAAGTAATTCAGTGTCCTTTAATAATAATAATAATAATAGCCTGCAAAATCGTCAATAGTACGGATTCACTACTAAAACTCGTAAAAGATCACGAGCAGCCAATGTCGAAGCATTTCTTTTTAGGGCAGCAGGACAGGCGACAGATAGATTAAATCTAGTATTAACGTTGTAGTGCTGATAACGAACAGTCGCTTACTAGGCTGGAGTCTGAGGCTCTAAAGTCTCGTATCAAAAGAGCAGAAGAACAAGGGCTCTTTGAAGACCATCTCAACAAGCCGCAGCATGGAGTATTCTATAGAAACATCCAAAATTTAAGGCTATCCGAAAGACTGTCTTTTACCTTTCTAAAGTCTGCTGGTCTAAAATCTGAGACTGAAGGCTTCCTGATTGCCTGCCAGGATGGGGTAATTACCCTGGTATACCGTAGTCAGTTTTCTGAAGTTGCCGACGTCAGATGTAGAACTTGCCGCCAGCATCCCTAAACACTTATTGTCATCTTGCCCTGTGCATGCTGTTTCTAGCTATATTTACCGGCACAACGCGGCTCTTCGGGTGCTTTATTATCATCTGCGACATGTCTATGGTTTGGATGAAACACCAGTGCTACCTTATGCTGCAGGGGACATTGAGACAGTAGTGGAAAATTATAACTCGCATTTATTGGAACTACGCATTTCCTACTACAACACGTCTTCAGGCGAATAGGCCAGACATGGTATTGCTAGATAAGCAGAAAAACTCGATGTACGTCATAAAGTTTTCCGCTCCGACAGTAACAAACATTGAGCTTAAGGAGAGGGAAAAGCGGGCCAAATATGTAGAACTGCTTGGCAAATTGTGCAGACTATATCCCGAGTACACCATATATTTTGTAGTCCTAATAATTGGCGTTCTTGGAGGGACTAAGGACAATATCTTGACAGAGCTGAGGAAAATACCGGCATGCCGTGCATTGCTCGAACATCTAGTGATTACCATGCAAAAAGCTGACGATCACTGACAAAGCGGTCGATCACTGACAAAGCGGACGCGAGGAGTGATCGTCTTCACGATAGGCCTTCTGCGTAACGCCCTGTGGGGTCGGAACCACAGGATACGTCACGCCGGAACTTTAACAAAAATAATGTTTATTTGAAAAAATATAAAAGATACGTATTAAATAATACAAGCACAAATAAACAAGAAACAAAAACCACGAAACAGGTCAAGCCTATTTGCAAGTGGTCATCAGATGCCATCATTAAAAACTGGATTGCAGAATTAAAGAGTGACATATCAGATGTTAAATTTGAGTACGGCTCTGAAAAACTAATTTCTGTGACCACTTCGAAAAACATTAAATCTGTCCATAACATGATATTAACAGAACAATGAATAGTTCATCGTTCATCGACATGAATATGAAAAAGCTTTTGGCCAAAAGGATTCCAGGGTGTCTGAATTCCTGAAACTATTTAATCTACTTGTTCCTGTGGACTAAACGTAGGTTCATCGATATGACCTAGAAACTAAAGAGCAATACAAAAAGTGGAAAAAATTCCTTCTTCTAAAATCAGCTATCGAGGTTTTGACTTCAGTTTTCTGGGACTAAGATGGGATAATCTAACTTTCCCCTTGTTAGACAACTTTGCAACTTATATTATCTCTCCTATTCTCGTCTTAACTACAACTGTTGCGTTTGGCTACGACGATTACCACCTCTCATCGTTACTTTAAACAACTGTCATTACATTGAGTTTTTGTGCCACATCTGCATATAGTAGGAGAGCCAGTAGAAAATGGCTGACGTTATAGAAATTTACAATATCTCTCTACTGAAATGATAAAATAAAACTTATCTTATGAATTATAGATAGGACATTTTGTTTTAAGAAGAAAAACAGTGTTGATTTGATGTAATTAGTAAATATTAGCAATTTAATATTAGAGGTGTGCCGATTTATTTAAGAACTTTGTTTATCATTGTTTTCTTAGCCTTATATAATTTCATATTTCTTCGATTTTGAGTTCTGTTTTAATATTTAAAACAAAAATGTCTGGCCCGGGTATAGTTAAGTATTCTAGGGAGTATTATGTTCAACTCCTAATTGTTTAAATAAGTATTCTAAAATTCAGAAAGTTGGATATTTAAATATTAAACATGTTTTAATTTTCCTTCCGATATTAAAATTCGCCAGAACTGGTTTAAGACCTTAAATTTAACTTTACATAATAATACTCGCTATCTTTGTGAAGACTATATTTTTGTTTGTCTTTTAGTAAGGTTTCCTCAAAACGTAAACTGCAAGTTGGACATTCTGTACCTATTTCATTAGATAATTGTGCATCCAGTTCAAATATAGAACCTTAGAGTCAGATTTTAAAATATGTTGAGGCTGAAGCACAAATACAGCAGCATAAGAAAAATAAGAAATTAGTTGCAAACGTAAACTTAATAATTACCTAGTGACGAACAGTTGTTGGAACGACCCTCTAAACGAAGAAAAACAATAAATAAATAAAAGTAGAGTCGGAAATTTAAGTCCTAAAGACAAAAAGTTGTATTTTATTAATATTTGATAAAAAAAATTATTCAATAAGACATATGTACACTTTGTGTTTTGTTTTTATACACCGGACAAAATATGATCCATTTTTCCAAGAATGGGGGAGACTACCTTCTATTCATTTTACTTACAATTGTTATTTAATATTGAGCTCATTACTATGTATTGCTGTATAATAAATAATTGAAATATATGTTTCAAATATTTTAATTTAATGTAAATATTTTTTGTTTATATTTTTTGGGGTTTTATTACGTAAAAAAAAACTAATATTTAAGTTAAATACAACATTTTGATGTAAATATTAGTTTTTTAGAGTAATGAATGCAAAAAAAAAATGTAAATAAATAATAATATTTATATTTGAATGAACCGCGGGTGGCTTAAAGCTCTTCTTTTTTTATTCTTCTCTTTCTTATTCAGCTTCTAACTGGCAAGTCAATCAGCCAGTGTAGTTAAAAAATAATGCGTTCCATACTAATTCGCAGCACTATACGTTTCCAAAAATTAACATAGGATCCGACTTTCTTCTTTATTAATTTATCTAATGTCCGTTTACAATAATTAGAAGAACATCGCTACCTCATAATATTATTTTGAATTTCGAATACATATTGTCTCTAACCATCAATAAATAAAAAATAACTTAGTTGTTAGCTATAAAACAATATTTCCTATATTCCTATAATATTAACACTCGATGACGTAGCTGTTTTCTTCTAATTGTATAATCGGACCCTACCTTAATTTTTGACAATATCCAAAAATGTTATAAAAAAAAAGATGTTTATCACCACATTTAAATGTGGTGATAAAAAACAATCTTTTATGATCTTTCCAAGTAACTTCAAGAAGCTATTGAAAATCTGTAGCTAGTATCGCTTGGTTATTATCCGTACAGTACATTACTTTACAATGCGCAGAAACCAGATTGAATTTATAGGCAGTAGGCATGGTCACAGACCTCCCAACGTCTTATTTATAATATTGCACAGTTGCATTCAGTAGCGTAGTAAGCGGTTCACTTATTGCATTTCCTTTCATTGTTATTTTCTTGTGTTTAGTGTTTCGATTTGATCCAAAGAAATGTTTATTTCTTAGTTTTTCGACTATTCAATTTTGTGTATTTTGGTAAGTACAATTTATACCTAAATAAATCATATAAAGAGTATAAAATAAGTTTTATAAACGACCATTCTTAAAAATTAGTATTTTTACACTTATTCTGGTATGTAAAATCACACTTTATACAGAATAATTATTGAAAAAGGAACATAAGACCCCACGAATTATTTAAAGGCCTTAATGCATTATCGACAAGAGGGCAGGCCTAATGTTTATTGTGATGAGACCTATTTACACAGTACTCGTACACATTAAAAAGTATGGAGGGGTGGCAACAATACTTTTAAAACTCCAATAAGCAAAGGTAGAAGATTAATAATATTGCATGCCGGGAGTGAGGATGGTTTTGAGCCATAATATTTATTTCAGGTATTAACCTATTTTTAAAATTATAATCATTATTGTAATTAAACCCTTTATTATAGTTAAAATTAAATAATGAATTGGTTTATTTATGATAACGGCATTTTACTTAATAGCTCTTTACCTGTACTTATTCCTGCCTATAGGTAATTATTATAAGACGGTTTTCACTAATATTTTTCATGGAAGTATAATTCAAAAGCTCATTAAAACAGATTATTGATAATAGGATTACAATTATTATAGTTTAAGCTTAATTAAATATTTTATTGTAAATAGAGAGTTATTTATGTAATTCTCAATATCAAGCATCTAATTATAAGTAAAGAATATGATTATCCTAATTGTTTTTACTTTTTTTCAGGGAAAAACTGGAGATTATCATGACGAAATGAAATGGGACAATTGTTCACAATGGACTAGAAGGCAGTTAATACCAAATCTTCCTCCTAGGGCTGTACTTGTGATCGATAATGCCAGTTATCACAAGGTCATAGATAAATTAATAAAAAAGATAGTCGGATCCCGTGTTAATTTTTGGAAACAAACAGTGCTGCGAATTAGTATGGAACGGATTTTTTTTTAACTACACTGGCTGATTGACAAGCCAGTTAGAGGCCGAATAAGAAAGGAAAGAATAAAAAAAGAAGAGCTTTAAGCGAACCGCGGTTCATTCAAATACAATTTATTATTATTTATTT